TTGCATTGTTACTGTATTTCTTCTCTGGCAGATGCTGTTGCTAGTTCATCATTCGTCACTTCAGTGCCATGTAAGACTTGCTCCTCTGGAGAACATTGCAGAAAGTTGTTGCCAGATTATTGTGAAGCTAAACCCAGACTGTCATTGATCGCAGTCGGAGGGGAAAAGCAGCCTAGTCATTGTTTTCAGTCAGGATTTTTCACAAGACGAATGGCATTTATTGAGAATGCAGCAAAATGTCTGCATAGATTCCTATGGCAAAAGCCTAAAGTGGCATTTTTATTATCGTATTCGGCATTTTGATTCCTGTAAATGTCATCATTCAGCTGTAAATTGTGTTGTTGCTTCATTATTTTGGCTCGGCTGGAGGCGGCGGCGCTCTGTTTTGGTCCCACTTTTGGATTTGTTGTGGATGCCACTTGGCAGCTCTGGTGCTGGATGATTTGCAATGCAGATCCTGTGTCTTTCTTTCCTTCACACACGCACACACACACACACACACACACACACACACACACACACACACACACACACACACACACACACACACAGCGCCTGCTGCTGAGTCACATGGCAAAGTCCACCATGCACACCATTCCCCTGAAGCTTCCTACCATTTACTGAATACTTCCTCTGGTCTATGTCCCACTGAAGATCCGTCACAGCTTCAGAAGAGGACAAAGAAAGAAAGAAGAGAGGAACTGAGGATGTGTGAGAAAGAAGGGGACCATGTCAGAGATGAAATGAGGCCACGCTCGCTGCTCAGTCCCTCTGGCATGTGTCTCTGCACACTGACAATCAGCTCAGCTTTTATACTCTTCCCTGGTACAGGATGTATGTTATTTTTGGTTGTTTTTAATAACCTCCTCTGCAGGCTCCTGCTGGTCTGGCCAAGGAGAGTTGAAACCATTCACCTGCCATGTCGTGACTTTGAATGCAGCTCATGCTGTGTCTGTCCTCTATCTAGCAGGGTTCAAGTGACAACCTTTGTTTCTGGGCCAATCCTGAAACCTCCAAAAGCTGATATATTGTGGTCAGAAGGGTAATAACACTGAAGCCATTCTAGCAATGCTGCAAGGCTGATGACAATGTTAACATGCTGATGTTAGGAAGATGTTAAGCAAATTCCCCACATGACCTTTGTGTGTGGGCATGCTAACATTTGTACACCTGACGCTAAAGGGAATGCCATTAGTTTTGTAAGTACTGGGTCTTATCACAAAGTATTGGACAAATAAAAAGTTGGCACTAGATTAAAAATATCAAAGGAGAATTCATCTTCTGAATTTCTGAACCAGATGTGTTATAATCCATTATGTAGATGTAGAGATATATCACTGGTTAAGTGAAAACACTGACCTGCTGTTGCAGTGGATTCAGGAACAGTAGCCAAAGTACATTTTAGTACCAAATTTTATGCCAAGCCGTTCAGTAGCTGTTAAGGCATTTCATTCAAAAGCACAAATGTTGTGGTGGCAGTAGAAGGGAGACAGGGGATCACCAAAGTAATTAGGAATCATCCTCTGAGAGATCCATGAATGTCTACCAAACTTAGCGTCCATCCATCCAATGGTTGTCAAGACATTTCAGTCTAAACCAAAACCTGCTGTTGGCACTAGATAAAAATTAATTCCCCAAAGTAAGTAGGATCCATCCCCACCCAACTATTGCAATCCAAAGAACTTTGCTGCTGGCATGGCTAATATAACCAAGAAATAGTAAGGCTGATCCACCGTAGGAGTGGTCACTTATTAGAGTATTCTCCCTGAGGTCATCTGGTTCAGTCATGTTCTGAATGCTTGGCACAGTTCCTAATGAATCTGCCTGCTCACTTTCCACCATGTGGAAGTGGCCATTGTTTTACTGGGGCCCAGAAGATGGAGAAGGTCCAACATCATTACCATTAACCTTAGGTGACCCTACACCAGCTGAATGAAGAATGATCTCATTGTTTCTCTACACTGTACATACAGTGTTCAGTCACATCACGCAACCATTGGCTGTATGCTTTGGCCATAAAAATTGTTTGAGAGTAGCACATTTCTTTAGAAACATGCCCAACTGTCCATTAGTGAGTCAAGTCACACTACATTACATATTTTGTTTGAGTGCTCCATTGGCATCCATCTCCGCTTAAAAACTAAATACCACTGCTTCAGAGTTAAGTTCCTTTTCATGATATGTTTCATGCACAGTATGTCTATCCTTTGTGAGTATAATGTTGGTTTGATTACAGATGGCGATGAATCCCTAGGATAAGTGTTGCTGTTCCTCGAATATTGATTAGATATCAGCACAGATCAATAGTGAGAGATAAAGCCAGTCTCCGAATACCAACAAACACACAGCAGTGCAATATGAAGTCACTTGAGCATAAATCTAGACAAGCTGCTGTAGAACTGCATACAGGTGTACTGTAGATACATGTGTAGTTCTGTAGAGCCATGCGGCTAAGGTACATGCAGGGACATGGCGAGAGATGAGCAGTGACACTTTTTGCCAAGCAGAGGGCATCAGTTATAGTTTTTGATAGCAAAGAATCTGGATTGGACGAAAATATAAAAAAAAGGTCAAATTAATTGTTTTTAGTGAAAAGAGGGGTAACAGGAAATTGGTCTCAGTGTCAAGTTGCAGTTGCACCAACAATCATTGGCATGAGATTGTGCCTCCCAATGGTCCCTGGGGTCTTATTTCAGGTTATAAAGGATAGCGCTTTCTATTGTTTAGCTTTGAAGCACTAATGTGATGACTGGTTGTTAGTTTGAACTTAAGATTGGAGTATTTGAAACTCATATATCAGTCTGCCAGTCATGGGTAGTAGTGCTGCCACAGGTAGTAAAGCCACTTGGTTTTGTATTCTCATGGTTAAGTGTTCTTTATTTTTCAATTGAATTTTTTTTCAGTAATGAAGCTGTTTTATTAAGTAGGCTAGCTAACACAGAAAACTGATATGTGTGGCTGTAACGTCTGATTTTCCATACTCCCTTACTGTGAATATTGTTTACAAGACCAGGCTTTTTGTTCACAGCAAATTTCATTAGCCACTTTGATTTAATGAATCAGCACTGTGGGGCTGGGTTGTGTTGTCATGCTCCACTATAATGTCCTTCTTTCAGAACTGCTGTTGATCTCTGTCGATGTCTTTGTAGTGCACAACTTACTGCTCACTAATCTTAAAACTTCCTTTAAATTTGTCATGAGCATTTCTAGTAGATGGCTGCTAACATTTTGGATGGACTTATTCTCTAGATCAGCTCTCCTGACAAACTATTAACTTTAAGCCCTGCTAAAGCTCTAAGTATTGTAAAACCGTTAGTATGTAACCTCAATACACCAAGCTTTGTGATTTCCTGTAGCTCATAGTTTAGTTAGCTACATTTCTCAGAAGTACAGCTAAGGGATACATAGTCCTCATATGTAGGCCTATACCAACTTTTAGCAGCGTCTAGTTCCAGACGTTTGAAATACTGAGACACATTGTGATGTGGCACGCACCATCACAGAGTCACTGATGACAGTGACTTTTGGCATCAGCACAGGAGTGTAAATGAAAGTTTATATTATTGGGGGAAAGTTATTCTTGTCTCTGAATGAACTTGGTGGCACATCATTATTCATATTCCACTGGGTCTCATTATCCCTTACTTTTCAGAAGTGACCTTCAAAGTGGGGCTGTGCTCACTATTGACTGGCTGCCCACTGTCTGCAGAGCAGAGATATGCTCACAGTTACCGTCAGCTCCATTAAAATGCTAACTCTGTGTAGAAGTGGTAGAACTGATTGTCGGTAGGCAGTAAGGGTGGTTTGATAGTTCTATGTTCTTTTATCAGTGTGCTAGTACAAGCTTAAGTCACCACACACACATTAAAGAGCAGATTTATACAACTTAAATTTAAAAGCCATGTAAGGCCTCTTTTAATACTACATCCATTATCTTCTAAAATGATTAACCCAGTAGAAAAAACGTGTGTGTGCTCTTTTCCCGTTTACTTAAAGCTGCATTTATTGGCCACTTGCAGGCTCCACAACAAGCTAAATTCTGAAAACTAATAGGTCACAAAAACCTGATCTATAAGCAACTTAAACATTTTATGGATAACATTCCAGCAATAAATTGCCTATTAACACATTTAGGTGACTTGATGTTTGTGTCCACCTGATGAATCTAAGCCCAATATTCCCCATCCTTTTAGCTCTGTTTTAGTCTCCACCAACTCCTCAGATGGATCTGTGTCTGTTTTAGCTGCCAAATGTTCCACTTACTTCACGAGCTAGTTGCTAACTTTGTCTGTCTATAGTTTGCCAGGTAGCTTACAGTGGATTGCTGGAAACGAGGTTGATAAGAGCATATTTTGTAGGCCGGAAAACCAAAACACTGATCTAAAAGAGGCCAAAAAGCTAAGTATAGCTAAAGGAGAACTGTGGAGTTGGTAATAGGTCCCTGTGGGTTGGTCACTACAAGCGACATCCTTTCACATTTGATCCAGCTGGCAAGTGTCCCCAAAGCTCATCTCTTGTAGCTACAAAAGTTAGTCCCTTTTTAAAATAAATTGATTATATAACTTTTCCTCATGCTAATTTGATCCATTGTTGATATTGAAAATACTGATTTAGTGTAGCTTTAATCTGTACTGGTGCTGAAAATATAGAAAATCTTCTTGTCCCTGTTGCTTAAAAGGTAGAAAGAACACTAAATACTGTGCTAACATCAAAGTTGTCCACTGAACAGATTTCCAACATAATGAACTCCAGTTGGGTTATTACTGCGCTGTCAAAGTTGAGTTTAGTGTGGACTGGGGAGACTGGGACACGCCCAGTGACAGATTACCAGGACGAGGTGTCATTCTCTTTGAGCCGCACATGCTTCTATTTATAACAGATAGCTGCAATAACTCAGAGAGGTGAGGGAGGGAGAGAGAGAGAGAGAGAGAGAGAGAGAGAGAGAGAGAGAGAGAGAGAGAGAGAGAGAGAGAGACATAGGGAGTCATATGACCTACAGCTCATTCCAGAGATAGTGACGGACAGAGCGCTCACTCTGTGCTCCCACCTATTATTACACCAGAGCGCGCGGAGGATGTGTCGCAACACCATCAGAGGACTCTGAGAAGATTGTCTATAATTACTATCACTAAAGGACATAACAATACGTCACATTTGTGAAAACAGCTGAGTGACAATGCCAGAGGAGAAAGGTAATAATGACCTTCAATAAGCTACAGTTTGTGTGCTGTGTTCACCTGCCAGGCTGAAGAGAGAGGATAGTTTGTAGCTAATTATTTGCTTGTATTAACCAAGACTTACTATTTTACCCCTATCTTAAGCAGATAATTAGAGTTACTCTTTTACCACAATAACAGGTAATGAACTATAATAATCCCATAACTCAGAAATATGGAAACCATTCAAACGTTCTAGATCATGCGAGTGTGTTGTGTTTACAGCATGTATGAGTGTCTATGTAAGTTATACTTTACCTACAGCTAAACAGGCCTCCTATTATGTAACCTCAGTCAGAAGCGTATAGCGCTTTCTGTTTGAATATGGTGTGCAAATGTGAATGGCAACAACAAGCCTGTGGGTGCAGGCTGAATGCTTTAAATGCTGCAGGTTGATATGCTGCCTGCCTGCCTGCCTGCAACATCCCTGGCAACAACAGTGTTGTCTTGGTCGCCTGCCTGCATCTCTAACACTGGGAGCTCAGCCATTTGGGCTGCTTATAAAGGGGTAAGGGCCAGTTGCTAAAAAGAAATCACTGATTTTTCGTATTGAGATTTACAGTGTGTCTTTGGTATTGCATAGTAAGGCTGACCTTTTTTTTTTTACCTTGTTTTCAAAGCATCTTTTTTTTCCTGCACGTACTGTATATTGCACTGGGCAAAAATGTTCAAATGTACGAATGCTCCCATAATATTCCTATGGTAATTTACAGTTTGCCATGAGAGTGAAAATTAAACTCTGAAGTAGAGGATATAGCATGTTGGTTATATTTGTTTGTATGAGAGTGTCTATTTATAGTGACAGAGAACAACAAAATGTACTTAAAGGGTCCAGTGTGTAACATTTAGGAGGCTCTATTGGCAGAATAGAATATAATATTCATAGGTATGTTTTCAATAGTGTATAATCACCTGAATATAAGAATTGTTGTGGTTTTGTCATCTTAGAATGAGCTGTTTTTATCTACAGAGGGAGTGGGTCCTCTTTTACATGGCGGAGTCCGCCATGTTGAACTGCCATGTTTCTACAGCAGTAGAAGTCTGCCACAATAGTTTCTCCTACACACGAGCAGTATTCAGTTGCAATCTGCAACTTCACTGCTAGATGCCACTGAATTGTACATACTGGTCCTTTTAAGTAAAAAAAAAAAAAACTTAGTCAGAATGGCCCACTAAAGAGTGTTTATTACAACCCTAGTGTTTATTTGCCTTAATGGAATCTGTAGAGAGCAGTAAGAAAATTAAATTCAAAATCACATTTATTAATCGCTAAACAAATCTGTCTTGGAATATAATCTAACTCAGCAGTTCATTACATTTGTCTTGATAACATGTAATATTGTTACTTACTATTTAATATTTACATTATTGTTTCAGTTTGCTGCCTTTAACAAACAACATATACCATAAGCCCTCAACCTTTGCAGGTTAAATGTCATTAACTTGCAGTATATTTCTCTGAATTTTAGTGGAAATAGTTGCATAAAGTTGCATAAAATGGAAAACCATGTATCTCAAAACTAGGCTTAAGCACTAGAGTAGTACTTTCCACTCCTTGTTGCGTGTTTGAAAAAAAGTTGCCTTACTGTTGGTCCTTATAAACACGCCACAAGTATTTCCTCTCCTCTCCAGTGTCTTGTCTTCAGCAGCCTTGTTAAAGCCCATCCAGTTTAAGTTCAGTGTCTAAAAGCAGGGATGTAACTTTGTTTTGTACAGTGTGGAGGCGTGTACGCTGCCATCGCAAGCTTGTAAAGTTTGGTTGGGACGACATTCAGGCGACACAAACACACAGGCCATGTGCTTCCATGCACAAACACATACTGTACATTGACACACTGAACAGAAAAATTTTGTCATGCACGTACACATGCATGCGTTCACACGTACAGGCACTAGGTCTAGCCATAGAGTCAGTAGAAGCATACACACACAATCATGCACACACAAACAAACACACACCCCTTTAGGCTGTGTCTCAGCCAAGGACAGTGTATCCTGGGTGTGTGACGTAATGGCTGGCTGGTTGTCAGCAGTCACAGCGACGCCCGTCACTATTCTGGACCTGTCAGTAAACAAACCATCTGTGTGTCTGTCAGTTTACAAGCATTACCCCTGCTGACATTTTAGATTTCAAAGACTTTAAACTATTTTTTTTTTTTTTAACTCCCTCCACAAATAATAGATGTAGCTATGAAATACATGAAATGACAAGTAGTGGCAGGTGTATTATTCTAAGGTGCTAGATCTCAAAAGGTACCCTGCATCATGTTAATGTTAAAGGATTAAGCTGCTATTATTGTATATTTTTGTCACTGTCAACAAAGCCCTTATTAAGACCAAAACCCACAATATGTTATTCGGTCCCAGAGGAATTTGTGCGGTTAGGGACTATTTTCAATGGCGGATGAATCCACATTTGGTGCTCCAGTGAGCATTTGGGGCAGCAGGACGGTGTATGTGGGACTTAGTCAAAATAAACTGGTGTGTGTGTGTGTGTGTGTTCATGGTAATGAAGGAACATGTCCTCCAGTGCAACAGTGTGGCTCATTAATGTGTCTTTAATTGTTTTTAGACAACAGTGGAGCTACTGAGGAAGAAGACATACACACAGTACTTTCATAGCGGGTTCAGGTCTTTTCATGGGATACAATGAGAAAACTATTGAAAATATGTTGACAGCTTTATCCTTTAAAGCTGTAACAGAAACTTTTCCACCAAACCTATACATTTGTTGGAGGGAAAACTGTCATTTAACAACTATAGTGTTCCCCTTTCCTCTTTAGCATTGGGGTACATGGATCATTTTGCTCCAAACTTGTTTCTAAGATCAACTCCAAAGCATTTTACAGTATATTTAATTTAAAACAATGAACTGAAAGACGTTAAAATGCTCCTTAGAGCTGATGGAGACTGCACAGTCTGCTGATTTGACCCATATGTAATATATCAATATTGATTAGTGCAACTTTAGAAAAATATATTTCCCAGCCACTGCATAGTGAACTATTACAATTAATGCATTTATTTTGCATTATTTCTCAAGTAGCAGGTGAATTGTCCAGCAGTCTGAGTAATTAGGGTCACTCTGTTCTCACTTAGTGACTGTATAATGTATCTTTGTGCCCTTCAGGGTTGAGCACTGTCCTGTGGATGCTGATAATGGCCTGTGTGTTTGAATCCAACTGCTGTTACACCAGCCTCTCTCCCTTAGGTGCTAAACCTGCTTGGCATATGCCGGTGTTTTTGCACCAGCTCTGCTCAAACAGCTGACACAATGCTTTCTACACAGGAGCTCTGTTCATGAGTCATGCTGTTTCTCTCTGGGTTGCAATGAATGGCCTGCAAGCATACACAGCCCCGATCCTTCACTGTCTTTTCACTATAAAACTCTTTCATTTCCTCCTACACTGGCCGCTGTGTTCCTCCCAATCAGCTTTTCTGCTCATGAACATTAGCTTAGCAAAGCATCCTTTACACATACATTCATATACATGTGCAGACATAGTAGCATGCTCAGCTGTTCAGTGATATTCTGCTGCATCACAGCATCTGTACAACAGTCACATGATCCCCTCTATTACAGCACATTCTGGCTCACGATGAGAGCATCAAATTGACGTTTCTTTAATGTTTTGCTATCTCATTGTCTCTATCCTCATCTTCCAAAAACAACTTCAGTCCTCAGGCTCAGTCTGAGTTCCTTTTTTCCCCTCTTGTCCTTGAGTTTTTCTCTCTGCTGGCACTTCTCAATTTAACCAAGCATGATGTGTCAAATCCTGCACAGTGCTCAACTAGTACAATCACATCAGAAGAAAGTTCCGTAAACAATTGGATGATTCTGAAAAACCTTCTGCACTAACTATGGATGACAGCTATGATTTGGTCAAGGTTGGGGAAAGATCAAGTTATGGTTGATAAAGGTCAGACTATTTTTCTGCATTGGCACCGAATGCTGCACTGGACGTAAAACGTGATATACAAAGTACACTACAAGTATGGGGTCTGGGAACATTAGGCCTGGCCTCCGCCTTGCAGTTAATAGGTGTTGGACGGGGTTGAGGTCGGGGGTCTGTGTAGTCCGGTCAACTGCTTCCACACCAAAATGTTAAAACCATTTCTGTATGGACCTGGCTGGGGCATTGTCATGTTCAAACTCCAAAAGGGATAAAAAAAACTGTTGACCCGAAGTTGTAAGCACCCCCATTGTCTAAAAAATCATTGTATGGTGTATCATTAAGATTTCCTTTAATTCAAACTGAGGGGTCCTGTTGGAGTTGATATAGCAGAGATGCTGATCCAATTCCGTAAGTAGTTGAAATCAACAGAGGAATAGTCTGGTATTTATGCTGATTGGACCTCATAGTGTTTTGACTTGAGGCAACTACATGGAAGTGTTCCAGTAGAGCCAGCTGCAGTGACACGTGGGATCATATCTGTAGGCAGCGTTTGTCGTCCACGTGGAAGAAATATTCACTGAGTCATCTGTCACAGGAACAGCAGGAATCATATGTTTTCACACAAAGATCACATTCATTCGAAAGCAAACTGGTTACCATATCTTGCTTTGCTTTGGGCTACTATTGAAAATGATAACTTATTAAATAATCTTCTGGGTGCTGTTATCAGTATGAGTAGTTGTAGTTTTGGTAGCAGTAGCACCAGCAATGTTAGTGTATCCAGTGTCAAAATATCCTTTATACTGTCACCCAGGAAATGTGTTAACTTGGTTCATTTCCTCCACCTCTCTGTTAACATGACATGCCCTTGTCTTTATAAGGGCTGAGCCAAAAGGGTGCACTGGTGTCAATTGCCATCTAGGTCGGAGGTCAGCTTTCTGTAGTGCTTGACCTCAGGGTCAGAGGTCAAATGCTGTTCAGGTCAAATTGCATGTGTGACTGCACAGGTGGATGTCATGGCTTTGAGAGGAGAGGGAGAAATCATAAGTCATAATGTCTAGTCTGTGTGTATCTAAAGTC